GGAAATCGAATCATTCACTTCGCCTTTTTGGACGTTTCTCAGGAACCATTTGAGTTGCAGAACTCGTTTTCCTATCATTCTTTAGGAAATTTAAACCTTCAATGTTGGTCTAAAATCGGGAGATAGAAAATAGTAGCAATTTTCTCACAAAATGCAAAATTTTAACGGCACGCCATTACGTTCAAGTTTAGACAAACATTGTTTTCGCGACTTTTTCGCTGATTTCTCTGGAACAATTTAGGCTGAGACGTTGATTTTTGCACCACTGGATAGAGACCTAAATGGTTCCCTTAGTAGATGGAAGTTTGCTGAAAAAAATGTTGGCAGTTTTCTTCACAAGGTTGAAAATTCGCATTTTTTGCATAATCGAGCCAAACATCATTTCACCTTTTTGGACGTTCATCAGGAACCATTTGAGCTTTTTATCACAAAATGCAAGATTTAAACGACACACATTTTGGGTTCAAGATTAGGCAATAATTGCATGTTTTTTGCAACCTTTTCGCTCATTTTCCTGGAGCAATTTAAGCTGAAACGTTTATTTTTGCGCCATTGGATAGAGCGCTTAATGGTGCCTTTAGTGGGTGGTTTCGCTTAACAAATGTTGTCAGTTTTTTCCCAAGAGCTTAAAATTTACAAAAAATTTTAATTTTGCACGTTTTTTTGCATTGCAACATCGAATCAATCACTTCGCCTTTTGGACATTTCTCAGGAACCATCTGATCTACTGAACCTTAGGAAAGTTAAAATACCAATAACGGCTGTAAGCGGGTGATAGAAAATACTGGCAGTTTTATCGCAAAATGCAAAATTTGAACTACACAAGTTTTGAGTTCAAGATTAGGCAAAAATTGCATATTTCGCCATCTTTTCGCTCATCTCTCTTGAACAATTTAAAAATCTTGACAGTTTTCTTCAGAAAGTTAAAAATTCGCGAAAAATGTAAATTTGGCAGTCAATTTGTTGCAAATCAAACATTACTTAGGAACCATTTGAGCTACAGAACCGGTTTTCCTGCCATTCTTTAGTAAATTTAGAACTCAAATAACGGCTAAGGAGATAGAAAATACGGGCAGTTTTCTCACAAAATGCAAACTTTGAACGGCACACATTTAGGTTTGAGACTTTTGGAACAATTGAAGCTGAAACGTTCGTTTTTGCACCACTGGATAAACACTAAATGGTGCATTTAGTAGGTGGAACTTCGCTTGGAACCTCACTAAAAAATTGTGGTAGTTTTCACCCAAAATATTTCGAAATTTGAAAGTCATTTAGGTGCATAATTGAGCAAAAAATTAATGTTTTTCGGAATTGTTTCGCTTATTTCTCAGTATCAGATTGAGATCGATTATTCATTTGTACACCACTGAATAGAGCGATAAATAGCTTGTACGAGGTAATTTTCCCCATTTTTATGCGCCCAGAAATTCATCTTCAGCAACTCTACCGTTTCTAAATATATTTCAATATACAATTTTAAACTGTTGGATTGCCTGATACAAGCAGTATTTAAGGCCGACACAATCTGGCCGCCAGCACACCAAAGAACCATCAGGCGGAGGAAAATTCGCAGACTAATTAAAAGGACGACATGCCTTTGAAAGATGAAGATGTTCCTCGATCTCAAATCGAAGCTGAAATGGGCGGCACTCCAACTGTTACTAATTAGGCGTGTTCGCGTTTCAAGTCTTTCCTTTCTTGCTGCTGCTGCCTTAACGGGGGGTCGATTTAACAAAAGAGTTAAGATTCCAAATTTTTTTCGAGTCATTTTCATTGAAAAACCTGCTAGAATCTTCGGGGTCGTGAACAGCCGATTGAACTCAGAAAACCGCTTAGAATTACAGCATGTCCATCTCATTGCAGCGAGAATTGGAGACACTTATTGGCAAACACTTTAGAAGCTTCAAAGCGGAATTAATCGAGAGTTTCGGCCGATTTTAAGCAGTTTACTGGGTACCAAAAGATGCTGTTTTCACCATCTCCAGCTGGTTTCTTCTCATTATCGTCAATGTCGGCTGTTATTGAGTGGCTGCCATGCAAGGCCGTCACGGCACGTCAAAAATGATTTCATAGGAAATAATTACAAGAGACTCGATGTCTTGTTCGACGATAAAGACGTCTGCCGCCCCAACATGCATCGCTTGGAATCTAATTTTACCCGGATTTGGTGTTAATTGAATAGTGAAAAGTGACTGAAAACGCGAACGCAACGCATTCTAAATGTGTTGAATCCAGTGTAACAATCTTTCAATCAACACCGATCGCAATACATAAAGTCTTCCTGGCATCGCGGTCGCCGGAATATTCCTATCAAACTTTCAGATTGCCAGCAGGTCGGGCAGCATCTCGCCCATCGAAACGAGAAAACCAATTTCCCAGATTTACAACCATCATTCTCTATACTACTTCTTTCATTATAGGGCTCAATATCGGCTTACATAAACTAGGCCACCAGGGTATAAACTCATCCCGGCTGTGGAAACTTTAAAGATAAAGTTTTACGGCCTTATGGTGAAGAAACCTTATAATCGGCTGTAGTGGCACATGTGAGTGGAATTTAATCTTACTTTAAGTCTTTTATGGCGCACCGTCCAAACGAATATGTATAAATATATGATCCTTTAACCGAGTTGAAAGGTGCTGGCTATTATCCGACACTTGCTTTTCCACAATGGGTTCTTGTTTAGTTCGCCTTATGAATTATGGTTAATGGCATTCACTTTGTTTGCGGCATTAACCGGATGATTTATTTCAATGCATTTTCTTCGGTGCTGAAGCTGTGAAAATGGTCAAATTGACTCCTCTTAATCGTCTTTTTTGAATAAAAAACCAAGCTTTGAAGCAAACAATTCTTAAGAACTGATTAGAGTGACGAAATGTGCATCGTGTGCATATTTTTTTGGCACTTTCTAACACTTCACTCTCACAACTCAATTTAAAAACGGTCTCATTAGTGTCTTTTTGCTTGTTTGTTGGTTTCCTACCAGTCGTTCCCGAAGGGCTTCAGCCTTCAGCCTAAAACCTGAACATCTAACCACTCTGAGACAACAGTTGGAAGTGAAAATGCTGAAACTTGTGCACAAATTCCGGGAAATTCCGATAGTAGGCGACTTGGTGAATCTTGAACCAATAAAGAACGTTTTCAAACAAGTGTGCTAGCTGGTTAAAAAATTTGTAACTTCCATTCTCAGTTAAGTGGAAACTGTATCCTTTCACCACGCGGAGAGAATACCTGAGGCTTCAAATGCGGAAAATTTGACGCAAATTCAACCAACTCCTGATTTTTGGCGAGTTGGCGATTCTCGAGCCAAAAATGAGCCTTTACAATAAAGTGCTCTCGATGTTGAAAACATGTGTAACTTCCAAACAAGGTTAAGGGGAAACTTTGTCATTTCATTGCGCGTCGAGAATCCTTGAAGCTGCAAATGCTGAAAATTTTGGGCAAATGCCACCAACGCCCGATTTTTGCCGAGTTAGTAAACCTTGAGTCAAAAATGAGCGTTTTCAATCACGTGCTCCCGCTGTTTAAAAAAATCGTAACTTCCAAACTAGGTTAAAGGGAAACTCTATCATTTCACTACGGGTAGTGAAAACCTGAAGGTTCAAATGCTGAAAATTTTGGGTTAATGCCACCAACGCCCGTTTTTTGGCGACTTGGTGAACCTTGAGTCAAAAATGAGCGTTTTCAGTAAAGTGCTCCCGCTGTTTWAAAAATTCGTAACTTTCAAMGTAGCYCAAGTCGCAACTTGAAACTTTCACTACCTTGCGAYAACACCYTAAGCTGCAAATGTTGARGATTTATRTAAAATTSCGCAAATGTACAMTTTTTGGCGACTTGGTGAATCTTGACCCRAAAATGTGCRYTCTGAATCAAGTGTGCTCGCTGTTTAAAAAATTCGTAASTTYCAAACTAGGTWAAKGGRAAACTTTMTCATTTCACYACGSGTMGWSAAYACCTGASGCTTCAAATGCTGRAMATTTTGGGCAAMTGSCACCAAYTSCTGATTTTTGGCGACTTGGTGAACCTTGAGCCAAAAATGAGCGTTTYMAWTCAAGTSCTCCYGCTGTTTAAAAARCTCGTAACTTTCAAGTAGCTCAAGTCGCAACTTGACATTTTGACTACCTTGCGATAACACCTTAAGCTGCAAATGTTGAAGATTTATCTAAAATTCCGCAGTTGTACAATTTTTGGCGACTTGGTGAATCTTGAACCGAAAATGAGCGCTTTGAATCAAGTGTGCTCGCTGTTTACAAAATTCGTAACTTTCAAACTAGGTAAAGGGGAAACTTTGTCCTTTCATTACGCGTAGAGAAAACCTGAAGCTTCAAATCCTGAAAATTTTGGGTAAATGCCACCAACTTCCTAGTTTTGGCGACTTGGTGAACCTTGAGCCAAAAATAAGCGTTTCCAATCAAGTGCTCCCGCTGCTTAAAAACTCGTAACTTTAATGTAGYTCAARTCGCAACTTGAAACTTTKRCTACCTTGTGATAACACYTCAAGCTGCAAATGCTGAAGATTTGTCTAAAATGCCGCAGTTGTCAAATTTTTGGCGGCTTGGTGACTCATGAACCAAAAATGAGCGCTTTCAATCAAGTGTGCTCGATGTTTAAAAAATTCATAACTTTCGAACTAGGTTAAGGTAAAACTTTGTCAATTCACCACGCGTAGAGAATACCTGATGCTTTAAATGTTGAAAATGTGGCGCAAATGCCACCAACTCCCGCTTTTTGGCGACTTGGTGAACCTTGAGTCAAAAATGAGCGTTTTCAATCAAGTGCTCCCGCTGTTTAAAAAATTCGTAACTTTCAACGTAGCTCAAGTCGCAACTTGAAACTTTTACTACTTTGTGACAACACCTCAAGCTGCAAATGCTGAAGATTTATCTAAAATTCCGCAGTTGCATAATTGTTGGCGGCTTGGTGAATCTTGAACCGAAAATGCGTGCTTTCTATCAAGTGTGCTTGCTGTTTAAAAAATTCGTAACTCCCAAACAAGGTTAATGGGAAACTTTGTCATTTCACTACGCGTAGCGAATACCTGGAGCCTCAAATGTTGAAAATTTTGGGCAAATGCCACCAACGCCCGATTTTTGGCGAGATGGTGAACCTTGAGCCAAAAATGAGCGTTTCCAATCAAATGCTCCCGCTGTTTAAAAAACTCGTAACTGTCAATGTAGCTCAAGTCGCAACTTGAAACTTCGACTACCTTGCGATAAGACCTTGAGCTGCAAATGCTGAAGATTTATCTAAAATTCCGCGTTTATACAATTTTTGGCGACTTGTTGAAAAATGAGCGCTTTGAATCAAGTTGCTTAAAAAATTCGTAACTTTCAAACTAGGTAAAGCGGAAACTTTGCCCTGTCATTACGCGTAGCGAAAACCTGAAGCATCAAATGTTGAAAATTTTGTGTAAATTCCACCAACTCCCGATTTTTGGCGAGTTGGTGAACCTTGAGCCAAAAATGAGCGTTTCCAATCAAGTGCTCCCGCTGTTTAAAAAACTCGTAACTTTCAATGTAGCTCAAGTCGAAACTTGAAACTTTGGCTACTTTGCGGTAACACCTTAAGCTGCAAATGCTGAAGATTAATCTAAAATTCCGCAGTTGTCAGCAAACTAATCTTCTAAACTGTTGAAAAACTGTTTGCTTTACGTGCAGACTTTGTTGCAAGACCAAGATCAAACTAGCTTCTCATCAATGTTGGCAACGAAAAATTCGGGAGCAAATTAAAATTTATCAGTTCTTAACCCACTCGGCCTCAAACATTTCAGTCATTTGGCACCCTAAACTCAATGAAAATTCCTCGAGTTGACCCCTTTCGTGTAATCAACTATCCATGCGTCCAGAACGAATCTTCTAGCTGGCCGCCAATGGGGCAAAGAAACAAAGGCGCAAAAGATATTGAAAAAGTGTTCCAACAGGAAGGGTCGCAAGCAAAGAAAACCAGACTCGCGATTATTCAGGGTCTCTGGTATTCAATTTTGCTCCTTTTGTTTCCGATGCGATAAGTATCTGTTATGCGCTCGCTAAATATACACACAGAAGAGATTAATGGCCAGTTGCCTTACAATAGGACGTAGTATTGAACGGCATTAATGTGTAAGTGCTTAGGTTTTCAACTTCGGTACAGATAAATAGAGCAGAAAACTTAACGTGAATAAACCAACAAACTGTATGAGGGGTAGAGAAGGAACCAGACCTAAAGAAAAGTTAATTGGAGCTTAACTTTAGATCAAAACGGCCCCCATTATTGCTTAGAAAACGAAAAATTTCCTCGAGATTTTCCTTTGAATTGATTTTCAACACTTCAAAATTATTTTAACGATGGTTTTTTGAAGATTTTTCGGACACTTGCAAGTCTGTCTTTAAGGTGTTACTCTATTGCGACTTACGCACGAAGTGCACAAGTAGTGCACAAAAATCCCTTTCTGAGCAAAACATTTTGAGACTAAAAGGTGCCGCTTTTAAAAATTCGCCAAAAATCATTCAAAGCCGCTAGTCTATTGCTACTTACCATGAACATACAGCGGTAAATTGGCTACTAAACAAGGCGAAAATCGACTTCTTAAACCATCAATAAGCAATTAATTGAAAACATAAAAATGTGCTCAAAAAATTGGTCTAAAAAAAGTAAAAAGTTTCTAGTTTTTGCATGTCTGAACAATTAATTTTTCAACAATAAAGTGACAAAATGATTTCCCGAAACATAGACATTGACTATCAACGTGTCTTTTAAAAATTGCAGAAAATTGTTGGTATTGCTGCTCGAAAACGCTGCTACTTACTATAAACATTGAGCGATAATTCCTTTTTGAACCGTGGCGTAAATCAACCTTTGATCAACTCTTATCCAGGCTTTAAACCACGGTTTGCTAAATGGACTAGGGATTTCTGCTTCAGTTGCCTGTTTGGACATTTTCAACTATTTCCAACGTAAAAAATGCGAATTTTTAGCCACTTTCGCGCCTATTCGCATACGCGCTGTTATGGAAAAAAGCCACAGAATTGCCGAATGGCTCTGTGTAATTGAAAGTAGGTTTTCAGTCAAGAGGCGTAAGCAAAAGTGCTCAGAAACACCCTTTGTAGGACGCCCCAGCAGGGCAACGTCCTAACAAGTAGCCGACTTTCATAGAAGCACTCGTAGCAAACCAGTTTAGAGGCTCTAAGCAAACAGCTAAATGCACAGGATTTCAAAACAATATTGCGTGACATGTTCACTATCTATATCAAAAAATTTATCTTCAAATCCACTAAATACCTTTTTAATGGCCTTTCAGTGGCAATAAAAGGGAATTTATTACCCAAAGGGCTTAACAAACTATCGCAGGCTTTTGCTTCGAATGTTTTCCACGCTGTCGTCCTCTTGATTTAGGAAAGTGCTCTTTGCTTAATGGGTAAATGTTATTGTTTGTCAAATTTGATACTGTTGCAGCAATCTCGGGTAATTCGCTTCAGTTTTCCAACAGTCTAGTGGATTTACGCTGCAAAAAACATGAGAATGTAAACTAGAAAAATACTTTTAATGCGCCAACACGCATTTTTATACAGCGTAGGCAAAAGGCGAAATCAATGAAAAACCCCAAATTTTCTAAATTTCTGCGACAATTTAACCGCATCGAAAATATCCGATTATTTATATTTTATATTTCAATATTTCATATTTTTATATTCAATTTCATCGTAAAGCGTTAGTTCCTTATCAATATCTGGGAAGTTTTTAAACACTTCACGTTTTTGGAATACCAGAAACGAACATTTCGATAGCTGGCGTGCCAGAGTGTGTATGGCAGTCGCACAAGGTTAATAAGTTTTCGGTAAAATTGGTGAAACCTTTTCTCCTTGAAGACATGCCCCGAAAGTTTGATTGAGCAGTTCAATCAGGTAAGGCAGTTTTGGAAGGGTTGATAAAATGTGTCACTGAACAGCTGAAAATCGGGTTTTTAGGGACACTGATTCCTGGGGGTCTGGAGCGAATATTTTGGGGTTTAAGGATTTTCGTAATCGGAGGTGTTCCTACGTGAGCCTAGTTGACTGTCTAGCTACTTATTTAGACGTAAATTTGCTGGAATGGCGCACCAATTTGACTAGAGAGCGCTTTACGAAGCTGCCCTCCTCAGAGGTAAGCTATAGTTTTGTTCTCTGATGTCTATGGATTAAGAGTGAGTTAAGAGTCAAACTTACTAACCGGTGTAATTTGGGTGCAAGTTTGGGGCGCAATTTCGAGTTTCGGGTGCCAGCTTGGGGCCCAACCTGAACATTAAATTTTCTTGGCTAAAGTAAAGGTAATCCATCAGTGGACAAGGAAGCTGAAAAAACATTTAATACGCCACTGAATAGAGCGCACTTGATCCTATTAGCGCCGCAAACTACAATTGCGTGGCCCTTTTTGGAGCGTTTTTGCGAATTTTTAATCTGGTGAGCGCACTTTGACTTCGCGCGATACTTTTTTGCAAAGTGACCTTCATAATTTTTCCTGGAAAGCCAATAGAGCTGGAAGATCGCTTGATACCCCACTGGATAGAGCTCATTCAACTCTATTCGTGACGCGAATTGCAGATCCGTGAGTTTTTTTGGGGATTTTTGGCGATTTTTTTTCGGGAGAGCGCACTTGTTCCGGGCGACACTTTTTGCAAAGTGACTTTCAATAATTTTTCCCGGACAAACCTATAGAATTACAAAAGTCCTTGATACGCCATTGAATAGAGCGTGCTCAACTTTATTAGTGAGGAAAACTCCAGTTCAATGGCGCGTTTTGGGGATTTTTGGCGTTTTGATTTTTGCACTCTTGACTTCGAGTGATACTTTTTTGCAAAGTGACCTTCATGATTTTTTTTAGAGAAAGCCAATAGAGCTGGAAAATCGCTTGGTAGACGACTCGATAGAACGCATTCAACTCTTTTAGTGGAGCGAACTGCAGATAAGTGGCGCGGTTTGGGGATTTTGGGCATATTTTTAATCAAGCGAGCGGACTTCGGGCAACACTTTTTTGCAAAGTTGCAAAGTTCAGAATTTTTGCGAGCAAACCAATGGAGCTGCAAAAATGCCTCATACATCACTAGATAGAGCACACTCAACACTATAAATGAGGAAAATCCCAATCCAGGGGCGTGTTTCTGGAATTTTTCGCGAATTTTTAACCGGCGAACGCAATTTTGAATTCGCACGATACTTTTTCGCAAAGTGAATTTTTAATCTGGCGAGCGCACTATTGAATTGCGCCAAACTGTTTTGCGAAGTGATCTTTAAGAAAGCTTTGCGAGAAAACAAAAAATGGCAAAAAAACTTGACACGCCCGCCACTGTATACAGGACGCTTAACTCTATTCGAACCGCAAATTCCGAGTTATTGGCGTTTTTGTGAGGATTTTGGCGATTTTTTTATTAGACGAGAGCACGTTTAACTTCGCGCGAATTCAAAGCGATTTTCAAAAATTGCTTGATACACCACTGGAAAGAGCGCAGCTGCCTCTATTAGAGCTGGGAACGTTAATTCAACGACGCTTTCCCGGGATTTTTGGCGAATTTTCGTTCGAGCAAACGCGCTTTTAACCATGCGTTTCCAGCACTAATAGAGGCAAGTGAGCTCTATCCAGTGGCGTATCAGGAAATTTAAAAAAATTGCTTTGAATCTGCGCGAAGTGAAAAGTGCGCTCGTCTAATAAAAAAATCGCCAAAAAAACCCAATAAATCGGAATTAATAAATAGAGTCCCTAGTAGAGTTAATTACTGTCTATACAGTGGCGTGTCAAGGTTTTGTTTGGCTCAATTCGTTTTCTCGCAAAACAAGCTTGAAGGTCTCTTTGCAAAACAGGTTGGCGCGTCAAAAAATAAAAGTGCGCTCGCCCGATTAAAAATTCTCCAAAAATCCCAGAAACACGCCACTGGATTGGGATTTTTCTAACGTATAGGGTTGAGTGTGCTCTATTCAATGGCGGATCCCGGATTTTTGTGGTTCTATTGGTATGCCCGTGAAAAATTCTTAAATGTCACTTTGCAAAAATGTGGCGCACAAAATCAAAGTTTGCTGGCCCGATTAAAAATTCGCTGAAAATCCTAGAAAAACGCCACTGATCTGCAGTTTGCGCCACCAATAGAGTTGAGTTCGCTCTATCGAGTGGGGTATCAAGCGATCTTCTAGCTCAATTGGCTTTCTCCAGAAAAAAATATCAAGGTCACTTTACGAAAAAGTATCGCGCGAAGTCAAATATGCGCTCGCCCGATTAAAAATTCGCTAATTCCAGAAAAACGCCACTGATCTGGAGTTCGCTACACTTATATAGTTGAATTCGGTCTATCGAGTGGTGGACTAGGCGATTTTCCAGCTCTAGTGGCTTTCCCGGAAAAAAATTTTCAATGTCACTTTGCGAAAAAGTATCGCGCCCAGTCAAAAGTGCGGTCGCCCGATTAAAAATTCGTCAAAAATCCTAGAAAAACGCCACTGATCTACAGTTCGCGCCACCACTAGAGTTGAATTCGTTCAATCGAGTAGTGTACCAGGCGATTTTCCAGCTCCACTGCCTTTCTCGGAAAAAAATTCTCATGGTCACTTTACAAAAAAGTATCTCGAGAAGTGAAAAGTGCGCTCGCCCGATTAAAAATAAGCTAAAAATCCCAGAACAACGCCACTGGACTGGGATGTTCCTCACTTATAGAGTTAAGTGTACTCTACGCAGTGGTGTATCACATACTTTTGAAGCTCCATTCGTTTGATCGCAAAAAATTCTGGAAAAAAACATTGCAAACACGTGTCGCACGAAGTTGAAAGTCCGCTCGCCTGATTAAAAATACGCCAAAACTCCCCAACACACGCCACTGCACTGGAATTTGCCTCACTAATAGAGTTGAGCGCGCTCTATTCAATGGCGTATCAACTAGTTTTGTGCTTCTATTGGTTTGTGCGTCAAAAATTATTGAATGTCACTTTGCAAAAATGTGTAGTCTAAAATCAAAGTGCGCTCGCCCGAAAAAAAATCGCCAAAAATCTCCAAAAAACGCCACTGATCTGCAGTTCCCGCCACTAATAGAGTTAAATGCGCTCTATCCAGTGGTGTATCAACGTGATAAATAAAATAAATGACTCAGGAACATTGTTTATGCTAAAGTTCGATTGAACTTTTTGCTAAAACTATTAGCATACATACGAAAATGATTACACCACTTTGTTCGGCCAATCAATAGATGCATTTCTTCTTCGTTAATCTCTACTTAGAAATACGGCCAAAAACCAGTTTAATAACAACTAGGTTCCATTTATTTTATAATTTTTAGTTGATGGCCACAATTTTCCAACTAACTCCAGAACCATCAGAGCACATGAGCCTTAGTTGGAGCGAAATCCAGAGCCCCAAAAATTGCTACTGAGGTTCATCAGAAGGACGTTAATAAATTTTAATTAGTCGACGGTTGAAAGCACCAAATAAGGGTACCAGTAAAAGGTTTCTTTCTTCCATGCAAATAAAATACACGTTTAACTTTGTTTTACTTCAGCATCCTGCAACCTGAACATTAATTTTGGGTTTGGTTGTCAATCTTTTTAATCGTTTTCGCGTTCAGGGTAATGGATATTGCAAATCCAAGTTGTTTTTGATGTTTCTTCTGTTAAATTGTCATTTGTATTTGCTTCATTTATTGTTTATATTGTTGTGACTATTTTCTACCGTTCTGTATTTGATAGAATGCCAGTATTTTTGATCATAGCTTTCAAGTAGTTTTAAAAGCTGCACCAGATAAGGACGAAAAACAGCCAACCGAACAAACAAACATCCAAACAATTGATCCTGATGGCGGTATTATGAAGACCATATTTATCCAAGTGCTGAAATATGCAAGAATAAACTGCAAAGAAATTAAAAGACGTTCCATGCCAATCTTAGAAAAGCAATGATTGCCGTAGTAAATGAAGCCTTCTTGTCAACGCCAGAGATCGAGAAGCCGATGGATTTTGTTGAGACCAGCAAAGCAAACAATTTCAAAAGAAACGTCCTGTATGACTAACAAACGGCAAATTAAATGCAGAAAACCTGTAGTTTTTGAACTGTTTGCTGAACTGTGGATGTCTGGATTGAGTAGAACCAGTTTAGTAAACCCGACGTATACTCGAAGCATTGAAGACCAAATGAAGACTGGAAACTCTAAGATTTGCAATCGTGATGCACAGATTGTCTGAATTGCTAAAGAAATACAAAAACCAGTAAATTATTTCAATCCAGTGAAAATATACATACATCAGAGTGCCAAGAATGCAGAGCGAGTCAACTGCAAAAGAACAAAATCTTAGAGAATTGTGGTCTTGAAGTTACAATTGAAAAAGGACGATGTTGTCACACCTTCAGCTCAATTAGCGATGGTCTTTTCTTGATATTTTTTGTCCCTCGACAGTCTTATGTCTAAGCAGCCGATAGGCATTTGGCATCACATAGCATCTGTTGGTCATCAGCTCTATAAACCATTTGGCACGGTTGTCTATTATTTGGTTCAAATATTGCATCTTAAGCTCTATTGTTTTGGTAGTTTCAGAGGTTTGGTATTTGCTGGTTTTTCTTCTTCTTAGTGGTTTGCTCGGTTTCGATCATGATGAGTTCATGTATGGTTTTCTGTGATGTCTTTCCATTCCTGTCTCTCTTCTGCCATCTTGAATAGTTGTATCATGCATCTGGTAGGCGACCTTCCCCTTGATTTTTACTAGGAACCGTCCCTTCCAATGGTATCTCACGACCATTTCTTCTAACAATCTCTTCTAAATTCTGAGTTGGTCCAGATTGGTTGGTTTTTTCTCAGTCCAGCACGCTCTCAGCATTCTGCGCCAGAGCATCTTCCGCTTATCCAGTCCAGCATTCTGATCCATATAGAAAGACTGAAAACACCAAGCTCCTGAACATACTCCTTATTACCTGAGGGGTAATCGTGTAATATCTACTGTTAATGAGATTGCTAATATTACAAGATCTTGGTGTAGTTGGCTTCTCATGATTTAAGAAGCAGCGACCAATCGGATTTTTTAATCCATCTGGAAGCACTGTAGTAACTTCCCCATGGAGAACTCGGTGAAGAGGTTGCAAAGAAACTCGTGCTTCTTCAAAGCTTGCTTTGCTGCGAAGATAATATTGTTGATTGCTGATGGCTTAAGCTGGGGACTCTGGGATTTTTCCCTGGTTGCCCTGCTGATTTAGAAGGCACAAACATCCGGAGCGTCGCTTCGGCTGCATTTTGTCAACATTTTGTCAAACATTCAGTTTGAGGCAAAGTGGTATTTATTCTTGGAAGCATTGGAAGTTTCGCGAAGTAGTTTGGAGGTGGCGTGTTGTTGCCAACCCACTAATAAGCTCGGATGATAGGGAAAATGTCCTCTCCATTCTTCACCGGAATCAGCGATACTTCAGAGTATGCCAAGGATTCTAGCAGCTATGGCTTCTTTCACCTGCGTTGTTTTCATGTTCTTCCTGTTCTTCTTCCTCTGTGTTGTAGGATTGCATTCTTTTTCTCTGCAACGATTACAACCGTATTGGGCGTCGTATTGGGGGTCTTCCAGGAGGGGGTATTTTCGATACCAGGAGTCCCTCTTTCGCTCTTTTTGATAGACTCGTATTGTCCGTCCTGTCGACATCGTCTCCCCACACTCTTCGTGCATTACTGCCCCATTTCACCACGTCTTGAACGTCGCACTGTGTTGTCTAAAACCCTGGGTGGCTCATGGCTCACTGTACAACTTTCCTCCAATCGCACGGTCTTCCATCAATCCAAAGCCCATAGAAATATTCATCTGTTTGCTCTGATGTTGTCAATCCATCGCGTTCTGGGACCCCCAGGAGGGCCTGTCCCGGTTAGGACCTCCTACCATGCCAATCTCATCAGTCGATCCTTGTGAAGTTTTTCTAGGTGTCCTGTCCATCATTAGTCTTCTTTTTCTTCTATTGCCCCAATCCCTGTTGGCCGTTGGCTAACATGGTGATTCGAATTTTATTAGCAACTTATCTAAATAATTGGATCGATGACAGACCAAACCACTTCCTTAGATTTTGCATCCAAGAGTTTCTCCTTTTACCTGGACCTCTTCTATCGTCCACCTTGCCCTGAAGGATAAGTTGGATTTTTCTGAGTATTTCTTCGTTTGCTACGTGATCCTTCCAGGATGTTCCGAGAACACGCCGACATACCCACATATCAAAGGCCGAAATCTTTTTCATGAGTTGTCCTGTCTTTCTATTGGTATGCGCTGTTTACTAATGCACATCCTCTTTGTTTTTGAGATATTTGGTTTTAGTCCGAATTCCTCGAATATATCGTTGACCTTCTGAAATAGACTTTAACTTCTGAACCCACTAAAACCCTTTCCTCTTCGACTACCTTTTCTTGGACCGGCCATTACAGCATCTCCTCAAGAAAAGTGTCGGTTTTCTGATGCCAGATTGCAAGGGTTTATTGAATTTCCCTTTCTTTTTTTTCTTTTCCTTCTATTACATGGCAGATGTAGTCATTTATTTTCTTCCATGTTTGTTTGCTTTCTAGCATTTTGTTAACAATCGCATTCGCGGACAATACCTCTCCAATCTCCAGATGCCCATCTACAGCCTTCTTTTTACATATATACATTTCTCATCCTCACGCTTTTTTATTCTGTGCGTGTAAGTACCAAAGGTCCCATGTCCGGTAAGA